TCCAAACCGCTGTGAATCCCCTTAGAATTGGACACATTAGCTGGTATTAAGTTCCTGTGATATCTTGTTCAGGATATTCTTGAATAAAACCAAAGCTAGCAAAAACTCGCTGTTCTGGAAAGGATAACGGCAAGCAAGGTCACAGGGTAGCTAATATTGTTTCCTACTGAGTTTTTAAATAGCTTGTGATAGCAATTTCTTTTATTGGTTTTAGACTTTGAGAATTGTAATTGCTCGATAATATAGGTGGGTTTTTTTTACCTGTGACATTGTAGATACATTTAAACTCAAATGAACTTTGATTGAACAATCTTTGAGTTTTTAATCATAATTAATAACAGTGAACATTTAATTGCTCAAAGAATGACCTGATTTAAAGTTCTAGCTGAGAGAGGAATGAGCAAGTGAGAACATTAAAAGTATTAAGAGATCTCTTGTATAAATAAAACACATCTTGACCTTCTTTCTTTCTCTGTCGAGGAAGACCTGATGCCTACTATGTTATGAGAATTTTGGAAACGTTTCACATTGTTCTAGAGGTCATCCAGGATGGAATTCAAGCAACATTTTTTTTAAAATTTGGGTCAAGATGTGACTTGTTTTATGAAGTGGATGTAGCAATGTTGTCTTGTTCGAAGGCCTTTTTTTGCCCCGGGCCACTATTAGTTTTGTAGACAAATTTGGCCTTTGATTATGGAAACTGTTTAAGAAGTGACCATTTAACACATATTTTCAGCTAATCCCATTTTTGGACTTGCTTCCCAACAAACATTCATCACTGCACCTGTAGCACGTAGAATGATGTCCGGACAGCCATGATTTATGTCATTACGTAAACGAATTCGGTAGTGTTAGGAATACAAAGTAGTATTCCTCCGTTTAGGATCTGAGAGGTTCTGTTTTGGTTCTGCATAGAAAGTTTGGCCATTCGATTTGCAATTCCCTTATTACAGTTTAGTGAATAATATCTAGAAGATTCTTCATTCCTGTATTCCTAACACATCAGTGTCCTGTCCCTAGTTATATAGGTTCCACCCCACATCCATGCAATGTGTGCAATAAAAATGTGCTTTGTTTTTTTGTTTTTTTTAAAAAGCTTTTTATTAACCCTTTTCCAGCACAGAGGCTTCCTTGGCGCGATTTACCTCTCCACTTCCTGCAACGTCATGGAGGAGGAGTAGCCTACTCGGTGTGGTCCAACCAATGCTCCTCACAGAGAAGCCTTTGGAACCTGATATGCATGCGCAAGAATCGCTGTGTGCACGTTCAAGCTTCCAACTAAGAAAGTATTCAATCAATGCTTTCCTGTTACGGCTCTGGTGTTACATGCCGAAGTTTTCCTCACCTCCACTGGCTGTCAGCGTATTCTAACCTTCAAGATAATCATTGCTGTTTGAGCAATGTTTAAACTCGAAGATTAAATAGATTGGATAACTGCACCCAGGCCTCTTCATTGACCACTTTAGTGGTTCTTTGAGAGATTTACCAGGTGGAGATATGTAGCAACCATGCAAGACCAGATTGGACTTTCAAGCCAAGCTCCTGGGTAACAAATGACATGTACAGCACATCTCCCTAATCCTGTGCATCATGGGGTTACCCACAGAACTCACTAAAGGCTCTACTTTGATAACTTAAGTAGTGGATGGGTTTGCAAACATGCAGAGTCCCACTGCGTTGGGAAACAAACGCCCACTTACTTCCACCCTGTGGACACCACAAATTTAAATTAGTGAGATTAGACTCTTTGTATATTTGTTACTCACTGGCTGTTGTCTCTGTATATAGTGGATTGCTTCTTTTTTTATTATTTATTTACTTTTGAGAAGCTTTATTGACTTTTATAAAATATATAGGGGGAAGGGTACCAAATTTAAAGACAAGGGGGTTTATGACAATTTTTTTTAGATACTGTATTTGACTCACAATATCTTTATCCAGTGACGAGTGCCTAGTGACAAATTCATTAACTGTGAGAATCTCACTTGTTTGACGTGTCATCTGTCACTTGCGCAGTTTGACGTTTCTCCCCTATTGGGCCCCCCCCCCATGGATCAGAGGAAGGAAATCTGTACAGATAAAATAACAAATCTCCCGGCACAACAGGAAGCCTTGATTTGGATTTTGAAGTCTGTCTGTCGCACAAAAAAGATCCTCAAGAATTGTAAAAATAGCATCTTGTTTTTCAATGAGTCAAACCACTTCAGGGAAAAAATAAATGTGAGTTGATCTCAGAGTGCACGTTCAGATCCCAATTTATATATTTATTTTGGGACCTTGTATTAACATTTGCTTATTTTCATATGGCTGCAAATGACCGTTGTTGTAGGGACTTTAAGTCCCAGCATCCAGATCTGTATTTACATCCAAGCGGCTCTCAATCAAAAGTGCCCACTGAGAAAATGGGTGTTTTGGGGCACACACTGACTTGACACAAAAATATAGCCATTTCCTCATTACATCACTCATCACGCGATGAGGACTACAAAATAGATGGCTTAATAACAAAAATAAGCCCTTTAAAGTTATAAAGACCTATTCTATTTTTAAGAACTTTGTCTTTAGGCTCGTTGACACCTTAAAATTAAAAAGAGGCTCTCTAAGCACTATAACCACTACAGAATGCGTGTAGTGGTTATGCTGCAAGTTTAAGAATTTTGACACTATCCAAGGTCCCCCTTGGCGGTCCTTGCCCCTCCTCCTCTTTTGCATATTTCTATTAAATGAGATATATTTCAGCATTAACAATATCAAATTTGTCCAAACCTGGTCAGTATTCATTAATGGGTGTGTCATCTGATGCTCTTTGCTTGAGAACGGTTTGACACTAACAAGGGGACGCTGGCGCCAGGGGCATGTAGGCACCATAACCACTACAGAGGGCTGAAGTAGCTATGATGCTTAGAATGTCCCTTTTATCCTTATTAAACAGTTTCCAGAGACAAGGCTGTTCTAAGAGTTTAAAATTCCTACTTATACATTAGTGACATCTAGTCACGTTTATTTTCATTTGCGAGTGGCGATAATCAGTATTGTGTTCTTTAACACCCCTATGCTGTAACCCATTTTCCTTTCATTGTCTAAGTTCAACAAAGATATTGTTTTATCATTAAATAATGTTCTGTTCATACATACTGACTTAAAAAATATATTTATACCATACTTTCCAGTGCACAATTACACAATTACAAAAATTACTTGCAAATAGGCTGGCATTGAGAGGGTTAATATTAAAATGCTACCTTACTTTACGGATACAACAGTATAACCCATTTGGCTAGTTACTAAAATCTGTGGCAAGTCACATGACTATTCTCCTAGGTCTATATGTTCTATGTATTACTAATCAAAAACCAATACATTTATTGTGGGAAAAATTGTGATTGAAAACCCCTTCCACCTGAAGTCTGTGGATAGTTAATACAATGTTAAACAAAAATCTGCACACCAGTCAAGCCATAAGACTTGCTTTTCCCACATAGAAAATCACTCATTTGCAGTGATGTTATTACTGCAAAGGATTCTGGGTGGACATATGCAAATTAGTTCAACAAAGAATCACATTTTTGCCTCATTACATTTTAAACATGGATTCCTTTGAGTCTGTGCTTGCTGTATAGAACAGCTTTGAAACACAACTTAGGAAAAGATGCAAAGAAGCAAGTCTTATGGCCAGGGGTGGACTGACCACTTGGGCATATCGGTCATGGACCGAGGGCCCGAGGAAGTCAGGGGCCCGGCAGCACAGCCTTGTTCCAGCTGGAGAGATCAGAGATCAGAGATCTCTCCAACTGGAACGGCAAAATTAAAAAAAATAAAACTATTTAATTGATAGGTTGTGGGGCCCCTGATGCAGCTTGGGGCCCCACAACCTACCGCCCTGTAAATCACCCCCCTATGAGACCTGGCAGCTTCAGCAGCTCTCTGCCAGGTCTCCTTCTCCCTGTCGCGCGTGCTCTGTGTGATGGGAGAGGCGGGGCCAGGAAGTGCTCTCCTCTCACACACAGAGCCTGATCAGCCAGCAGGGGAAAGAGCAGCAGTCAGGGAGAGCAGAGTAAGCACAGGTAGGCTCTAATCACCCCCTCCCCCCC